TCTTTGGAGAAATGTCTGTGTAGATCTTCCTCTGATTTTTTTATTGAGGTTTCTGTTTGTTTTGATATCAAACTACATAAGCTGTGTATTTAGAGATAAATCCTTTGTCACTTGGTTCATTGGCCAATGTTGTTTGTTTTTTTTCCCCCCCTTTTGTGGGTTATTTTGTTTTGTTTTGTTTATGGTTTCTTTTGGTGTGCAAAAGCTTTTAAGTTTGCTTAAGTCCCATTATGTTTATTTTTGCTCTTATTTTCATTACTCTAGTAGGTGGATCAAAAATAATCTTATTGTGATCTATGTCAGGTCGTGTTCTGCCTATATTTTCCTCTATGAGTTTTATAGTATCTGGTCTTACATTTAGATATAATCCTTTTTGAGTTTATTTTTATGTATACTGTTAGAAATTGCTCTGATTTCATTTTTTTTCCCCATGTAGCTGTTCAGTTTTCCCAGCACCACTTATAGAAGAGACTATCTTTTTTCCCATTGTGTATTCTTGCCTCCTCTGTCTCAGATTAGGTGACCAGGTATGTGTGGGTGATATACTGATATCTTAAATTATGGCATATTTATTAATCCATTTACAGAAAGGAAGCATAGAAACCCAAAATCAATGGATGAGAAAAATTTTACCACAGTGAAGGAGTTCATACTTTTAGGATTTACGACAGACCCGTGGTTACAGAGACTTCTCTTTTACATCTTCCTGATCATTTATATCATCAGTCTTTTAGGGAACATCACCCTGATTTCTCTGATCTGTTCTGATTATCGGCTCCATATACCCATGTATTTCTTCATTGGAAGTCTGTCATTCCTGGATCTCTGGTATGCTTCTGTCTATGCCCCCCAAATCCTGATGACCTGCATCTCTGATGACAAACGCATCTCCTTTGCTGGCTGCCTAGCTCAATTCTTCTTTGCTGCTGGAATGGACTACACTGAATGTTATCTGTTGGCTGCCATGGCTTATGACCGCTATGTGGCCATCTCCAACCCCTTGCTTTATTCCCAGGCCATGTCTCCAAGTTTATGTGCCAGTCTTGTTGCAGCATCATATTTTGGTGGCTTTGTGAACTCAACCATCGTCACAAGTGAAACATTTACCTTGAACTTCTGTGGGGACAATGTCATTGATGATTTCTTTTGTGATCTGCCTCCCCTTGTCAAATTGGCCTGTGATGTGAAGGAAAGCTATCAGGCTGTGCTCTATTTCTTGCTTGTCTCTAATGTCATCACTCCCACTGTGTTTACCCTTGCCTCCTATCTCTTCATCATTGCTGCCATCTTGAAGATCCGCTCCACCCAAGGCCGCGTGAAGGCCTTCTCCACCTGCGGCTCTCACCTGACAGCTGTCACCTTGTACTATGGGTCAATTCTCTTCATTTACTCCCGGCCAAGAACGAGCTATGCCCTGGAGAGGGATAAAGTGGTGTCTGTGTTCTATACAGTGGTGATTCCCTTGTTGAATCCCTTGATCTATAGCTTAAGAAATAAAGATGTTAAAGATGCCTTGAGGGAAATGATAGAGAAAGCAGTTTCTTAAACAAAGAGTGTTTTTTTTTAAATTTTTTTATTTTTTACAGATTAATCTCTACATCATTAATGACATCTTGCAGTCTCAGAAATAAATAAAAAAGAAAACAAAGAAATTAGTAAATAATGTGGAAATACCAGCCTGTATTTTTTTTTTTCAGTTGACAATAATGTATGTGAATATGCTTTTGAAATAAACGGGCTGGATTCTGAGAATTTTGTGAGAGATTAGATTTCTAAAATGGTATTCATGGTTGCCTGCATATATACTATTTTAATCTATGAAATCTTAATCTATGAAGTGAAGTGAAGTGAAGTGAAATTCGTTCAGTCCTGCCCAACTTTTTGTGACTCCATAGACTATACAGTCCAGAGAATTCTCCAGGAGAGAATATTGGAGTGGGTAGAAGGTAGGTTCCCTTCTCCAGGGGTGGAGCCAAGGATGGAAACCAGGTCTCCCACATTGCAGGTGGATTCTTTACTGGCTGAACCACAAGGGAAGCCCAAGAATACTAAAGTGGGTAGCCTAACCCTTCTCCAGCAGATCTTCCTGACCCAGGAATCAA